ACGAAATTAAAAGTATAGTAGGTGAAGTATTTGATCATAAAAAACAATGCTATGAAGTTGCGAATGCAAAACTTGAGAATGGCTGGACAAATTCCGAGAAGTTATTATGAAATTTCGACTTCTACGCGGACGAAGACGCGGGCAAAAGCTAGAGAAAAGATATATTTTAAAAGTTTCAGGGAAATATTTTCGAACACAGATTCCTTTTCTAAGGTTAAAGTTTCCTATCAAGATTTTTTAATGACAGGATGACACTTGACGGTTCAGCTAGCTTCAAAGTAGGTAAACCTGCATACAAAATTAAGAATTGATGTATGCAATTAAGTAGGTACCCATTAGATAATTTATTCCATCGTAAATTCTACTTTGCTTACTTAATTAACTACGATAATTTCCTTCAAAAACGTTATTAGGCCTCTAAATCAATAGATTAGAATGTATGTTATCAGGGATTTGCATTTTAATAAGCTAAGGAATTGGCACAACCTAACGAATACAACCTGACTGCAATGGACTGATACACCCGTTAAAAAGTATTAAATCTATTAATATATTCATTGGGCACACATTCTTCGTATTGATTAAAAATTAGATGCATTTGGTTCGGTTTATTGGATTGACAATCTTTATAATGATGTGAAAATTTTTGGAAAACAACGTGCTTAGGGAGAAAGCTTTTGAATGAATTTGTTACCGACCGACCTTCTTTTTATTTCAATTTAGTGATTCTGGCGCTTAAATACAGCAACTTAAGAATCTTAAAAAAAATACAAATCAAAGTTATAATAAGTACCTACCTAGTTATAAAAAGTTTTTCTTATTTTTTTTTCTTTTTATGGCAATTATTATTTCTGACCATGTCTTTTTTGTAAAGAAATATTATTCCGTCGTTCAATTTCAAGAATGAGGTAAAATAAAAAAAAAGTACATTCACGACTGTTTGCCAATATCCTGTATGAGTGTATTTGAAAATTGTGTACATTTTTAGGGTTTTTGAAAATAAATAAAATCTTATTATGCCCCCTTGACTTGATGGCCAGCAAAGGTGAAGACCGGACACAGCCACGAGGCATTATGTCGGATTACCCCAAAATATGTTCGGGCACCGTAAAAAACAACCGCTGAATTATGGTGTCGCTCGCGGTCCGCCGCGGGCGCATTGTGCAACCGGGGGTAGATTACGAAACTGATATAAAAGGAGATTTCATGATAATCGCTTTCAGGCTTGTGACGAAAATCTTGGCCGCCATGTTGCTGATTTAGCTCCTGTTTATAATAATAATAATAAAGCTTTTTTATTTATCCATATTTCAAGTTACATACAATATGATTTCTTTTTTTTTTTTTACAATTCCAAGTTATTTATACGGATCCCTTTACCCAAAAGGGATCCGTTTAAATAACTTAGCTCCTGTTTATCTTCTATGAACTTTGATTAATGTGAAATGTAGGACAGCGTCAATACTCTAACGCAGCTCATGTAGCAAGATTAAGAAGAAATAAAAATTAGCCAAGTGCGTGTCGTGCCACGCGCAGTGTAAAGGATGAGTTCTCTCTGACACTCTTTAATCTGAATTTTAAAGTCAATTTTAAAGACAAAAATTAGGAACAAAATGCCGCTACACAGAACACTGATCAAGAATCGTAGTCATAAGCAAATTCAACAATTTCGTTAAATAATACTTAGTCATTCACGATTTATTTCCCTCAACAAATTAGCTTAAAACTAACAATACAATTTAAATGATGATTTGGTCAATAATAGCCAATTATTATTGGCAAAGAATTAAATAATTATATTTATGTAATAGCAACTGACATAGCATCAGTAATTATCATAGCAACCGGTTGCTATTGGTTTACGTAATAGGCGCCAAAGGAGCTTTTGTTATCTTTATTTAGTGCGGTTTGCGGAATCCTGAGCGTTTCGCTTCGGGTCGGGTGTAAAGCTGAGGAATTGGGTTATGTTTGTACAGACGACAGCACGTCTGACTGTCCATTTTGGTTGAAAAATCGCCTCTATTACAACTACTTAGAGGTCACAGTGATTAGCTTGAGGTGTCATTGACTTAACAATGTAACGCCCGTATTTACAATCATTACTATGAGGTCTCACAGTGCGCGTGGACGCACAGGATCACACACCAATCACAGAGCTCTATTCAACGCTCTGTGCGTTCGATTTGCTGCTTCACTTAAGCAAGCATCGTTTGTAAATACGGGTGTAAAAACTTGAGATAATCTAGAAGTGCTTGTAACTTCTACAAATTGCATGTCCAAGGAAGGAGAAACATACTATGTAGCAGTTATTACACTGTATGTAAGTTATTCATATTTGCAATATTACAACCATTACGAGTGTTAAGAAAAAGTTACCGCATTTATTCAATAACATACGCGGCACTTGGTTATGACAGCTTTTTTAATTGAAAACTCTACAGAAGGACCATTTATTAATACAGTACAAAACAGAACTAGTAACTTACAGATCAATCGTCACCTCTCAGATTGGCTTAACAAGAAAAAAAAAACTCTATTTAAGAGTGAGTGATTATATCTCAAGGAATATCAATTTTATCGTATTATTCATTTAATGTTGTACAGTGCCATAAAATGTGTCTATCCTATCCATTGTGAATCCATCGCGCCTTACACGTATGAATTACTGTGGTGGTATCGCAGGAACATACATTTCACTGCGCTATTATTTCACTTGACGTGCGACGCGGCGCATCTGTTTCTGCGCCGGCGCACGTTTGAGCACAGTTTATATGTGGCGCCTTGGAGTTATGGGTTTTGTCTTAACTACTCAAAAGTAGTTGTGGAAAAACGAAAGAATTGGTTACAGCTTCCTTGGAACTTTTGCAAAGCTCCAGTCAGGGTCACACAGCCGTCTCTATCTCTACCTTTCGCACATACATTGTACTAAATATTCTAAACATAGCGTATGCAATAGGCAGATTGATTCATACTATAACTTTGATAACCAGTACAACAAAAGAAAGCTGATTAAAACTAAATAAGATAAGGCATTTGTGGAAATCCTTGGGGGAGGCCCTTGTCCAGCAGTGGACGTCTCNTTTGTCCAGCAGTGGACGTCTTTCGGCTGAAACGAACGAACGAACGAAGATAAGGCAAAATGTGTGTCAAATAATTAAGTTGCTTAGGTTAAAATAAAACTGGAAACTTTTACAATTATTACCCTATCCTAGTTAGGTACTGTAGTACAAGTGTACCATAAGTGCACATAATAAACACGAATACAAACATAAACACATACTCCTAACAATGACATGAAAGCAGACAACAGTAGACCGCAGTAGCGCCGGTAGTGCGCGGTAAATCACCGCCGATGTGCGCACGCGCACCCGCGCTGGATCTAAGATCTCGCATGTAGGACGTGTTCTACAATACTTTGAATGACTTTGTTATGAGCTCAGTGCATACAGTTACATTATAGTTATGCAGCTTGGTAAAATGACCAAAACTTTCAAGCTTAGAACCTAACATCCTAAAATGATTTGACAGAAATATGGCTGTACTGAAACGAACTTCTAATAATGCTATTCCAATTCCCTTTTATGACACAACATTCGTCTTTACACATTAACCTACTTGAAACCATTCAAAAATATAAAATTCATTTCATACTCTACAGAAGTAGCCAATATTTCATCATAAAACAAACCAAAGAGTTTCTCCCATAAAGTACACAGACATCAAAGAAATCGCATCAATCATATCCAAGACAAACAACCATAAGTTTCTAATAAGTGCTCCATCAGCAAATGATACGAGTTTGACGTGCAATTTCTCCATTGCATTAATACACTGCAATAGATGGGCTTCTATACCCATTGCAATCCAATAAGGATCGCCGGCAACATACCAGGCTAGCTCGTCTGTCAAACAAACTAATGAGTTTAGTACTACTCATAAATGGACAGTCCTATTTCAATTTTGTTTAATATTTATCTAAGCAGGAATTAGATAAAATAGGAAGAACAGATCTAGCATAGAAGCTCCTCTCAAGATAGTTTGTCAGTGACGATTATTTTTAAAACGTTATTTATCTCAATTTAACTTCAGTCAGTTAAAATGTGTAACCACACACATTTAAGGAGGTTCTTAATCTGTTGATTAAAATGTGAATAAGGTACTTTTGGACAATAATTATGAGATTCTTTTGTTCAATTCATCTCCTGTTCATTATAGGTAGGTCCCATAGAGGCTTTTTAGTTCATAAAAGCTCCTGAGTCTAGACTAAGACGAGATTTTTTATTATCATCTGGTTCTTTCAATTTTTTTACATGAACTGTCCACTAATGCTTGTAGAGGACCACACATTGATTCTCACTGCGTGTGCTCTTTTCTCTACATGCTTTAGTACGCCCAGTGGATTCTTTCTATGCTTTTCCAGTTACTGCGACAAGATCTGTTAGATGTGTGGAGTAATAAATGCTGCACCAAGTATGGGCTACAAGCAACTTGCTCCCGCTGGACATACTCATTGTGGGGTTATGACACTATGTATAGCGCTCGCTTATTTGGGGACGCTCACAGCGGTATATCGCTTTAAAGGGACGAGGAAGAAAATGCGTTGTGATTTAATAGTAGGTAAGTATTAATTCATTGCCGCAGTTAGAATGAATCAGAAAAAAACTTATTTTTTTGGAAAGAGAAATTATTTGCAAATCGTAATCGTATAATACTTTGTATAAATGACTGAAAATAGGCCATAAAAGCCACTGCTGCTATCTTCTTGAAACCGTCAAGACATAGTGTTTCTTCAATCTCACCCAAAAGAGGATGTTATCTAATATCTATGATAGTGCGAGGTTGACCAGAAGATGCTTGTTCCCTCTTGCCTTGGAGGATTTCAAGTAACTAATATGTGTCAAGGTGGAACACAGAGGCTGACAGAGAATTTCACTCCTTATTAGAAAAAAACATCTGACAATCAATATATCATCGCCCCAGATAACAAATGAATGACTTACTTCTCTTCCTATCAAAGACCATCTCGGAGCACATTTCCAACGGCCTAGATCGGTCGCCCTCGGCAGGGTAGCCCCGGTAGCCCGGCTCGCAGCGATACACGGCACCAGGCCGTGAGACTCCTTCCGTGTACGTGGGCTGGTCTTCTGGAGCCCCCACCAGGATCCTGGAACAAACAGGTGGTTGAATTAGAAACAAGAAATGTAGAGGTAGTTATTGTAATAAAGTGGTATCCCAGATTGCCAATACTGTTATGTGCATAGTGCAATTAGTAAAGGTGATCTTCTTCTACAAGAACAACTAACGTAACGTTATGAGCCGTCTTAGGCATCAAACAAAACGCAATGATGAGATACAGAAACGGCAATCTACGAGTATTATCTCAGCATTAATTTTGAGAATTGACGTCCTTGTGTTACGCATAAACAACGACAAAACTTTTTGTTTTACCTCATTTCTTCACTAAAAGGAAAGTTCAGTTTTATTTACATTGGCATTACATAAGAACATCTCACATGATACCAAGAGCGAATTCCGGCACTAAACAGTTTAACATTGTAATCGGTGAATGAGTAAGAATCGATTGCCTCAACAAAGGCTCGATTCATTCTCGAGTTATTTTCGCTCGGATTCGTCTCGCACTGCTCGAGGAATTCGGGCTTTTTGTTGAGGTCATCGGCGTTTGTTGAACAAGACCCAATGGCGGGGCAAAAGGCATCCTTTTACACTATAAAACCAAAAAAAAATAAACATTTTGATGCATCATCGTCTACCAAGAGGTCATCTTCAAAAGGCTTGGTATAAAATATATTGCGCTCACCCCACTTCCGGGCGACTTGGCCTTTGATATGGTTTTCGTTTGTTGTCTTTCGCATTCATCATAGAAGAGTTGGCTTTAAAGATCTTGAATGAAGAGTACATATAGATCTTTAACGATCTTCATCAGAATCCACAATTCTGTCATCTTTGATCGGCAGTTGCGCAATAATAAACTTAGAATAGCAAGCACTGGACACGTGCGGGTGCCATTGGGCCTGTTTCTCGTAAAATTTAACTGCCCACCGATCCTGTATCCTCAATTAAGATGTGCCATTCTAGACCAGCCCAGACACAAATCGATCATCGCGACTGTGGGCAAGGAGGTTTAGGGACAGGTGAATATCGATGTTTGGCTTAATAGGTAGGATCTTGACGAATTCACCAACAATTACTGACAGTAGACAATGTTTTGAACAAATTGTGAATTGTTTTATCGTGTGTCTTTCTTTCATATCTTTAAATCATCGGGTTTCTATAAAACTTTTGATGATGATTTTAAAGGATTTCTTGTTAGCGAGGTTTCCCAAAAAAAAACTGTAATGGTTTTAATAAATTAGGGTACCTAAAAAAATTGTTCTTCTATTCTATTACACAGCCTCCAGTAGTGTACTGTATGTATAACGTTCTACTGTAATTACATACTGAGTGTATTAAATTACAAATGTACGACAGTCGGTTCATGTAAAGAAAGTTAACCTTATCTGTCAGTATTTTTCAGGCCATAAATAAGCTATTCAAACAAAAGCTGTAAAGTAAATAACTTCAAGTGGCCAGGTTATTGAGTAAAGCTACAATAAACCATCGACACGTCAGCCAGCCCGTCGCATCCCTTTCCCTATCGCGTGCGAGCAGGCGTGGTCGCTGGCAGCGGGCCAGCGCCGAAATAGCCGGGTTCAATCCCGGTCGGCACTCTCGCCAAATCGCTTTCGACTCGCTGACTCAGCTGACGGCTCGGGTTTGATTCCAAGACCGTGACTTTTCCAATCAAAATATTGACGATTCGTTTCATTTTACGTTTAGCGGTGAGGCTTACAAGAAATAGTGGTAAGGTGGTGATTATAGTCGTAAATGTAATACGATATACTTTCTAGAAACACTTGTGTTTGTCTACAATACGATGGGCTCTTACTCAAACCAAATAAAAGAAGTTATTGTAGTTTTAATTGCATGATATGCATAACGAACACATGAAGGAAATGAAGGATCTATACAGCAACATTTAAACCTTTCATGCTGATAAAAGTCATAGCTAAAACCAACTTGACGTCAAATTAATGTGGCATATCTAAGGCTGATTTGCACCACCTTATTACATATAACAATAACAATAACCGGTGCTTTTTGTATGGAGTTCTACAGATTTTTGACGTTTGTCAAAGCTAAAGTAAGATGTGCAACTCAGCTTAAGAATTAGATGAATCAAACCCAGACCAGAACTTAGGATAAAGTAATAATCTAACTACAACTAGCTCCCGGTCGTCGTAGCTCACATCGAAGTGTCGACTAGCTAGCTCATGAGCATTCATAGTTAGTTCGTAGCTCACATCGAAAGGTCACCTCTGGATCGTGCGCAAGAGTCGTATTTATTCACCAGAACTTCGGTTTATAAACAATATACTTAACTCTAAACACTCTACTACAACTAGCTCCCGGACGTCCATAGAGCATAGTTCGTAGCTCACATCGAAAGTGTCACCTCTGGATCGTGCGCAGGAGCCGTATTTAATTAGCAGAACTTAGATTAAAGAAACAATATAACTCTAAACTCTCTACAACTAGCTCCCGTCTCCCATAGAGCATAGTTCGTAGCTCACATCGAAAGTGTCACCTCTGGATCGTGCGCAGGAGCCGTATTTAATTAGCAGAACTTAGATTAAAGAAACAATATAACTCTAAACTCTCTACAACTAGCTCCCGTCTCCCATAGAGCATAGTTTGTAGCTCACATCGAAAGTGTCACCTCTGGATCGTGCGCAGGAGCCGTATTTATTTCTGTCAGCGGAAAGGGCGGTATTTACGGCGCGCACCTCAGTGTCGCCTGTTCCTGCTTACTGGGAATTTAGTGTTATGACGCACAGCTGGCGATCGAGGCCTTTGATTTAATATCATTCGATTGTAATGAAGATTACTTTTGATGGCGACAGATCAAGTCACATCCTAAGGCTGTTGCATGTGACCTCATTTCTTACAACTCAAAATGGAAATGGAAGAAGGTTCAATGAAGCTCTTCAATTGATCGAATGGCAAGATTCCAGACACACTGGTAGCTGTGACAAGCTTTTAGCAGTATTCGCTTCTATGTAGTTCAATGAAGCCTAATTTTACTGCCACTTATTTCGACCTATTTTGTAAGCCAATTTTGGCCTACGAATCCCGCATCTATTAAATAGCTCAGTATCTTATGAGGAACGATATGCCCCTCTTCATTTGGGCCTACATAACCTTCGACTGTCCTTATTTGCTTCACTGTCATTCTACAATTTACTATCTCTACCTGTAATGAAGTCACCTGTGTGTTACTCTACAGTCAAAATAAATCGGTGATCTTCAGAGGATGTCCAAAGCAGGTGTGAGTCACATGTGGCGCTCCGCCAAACGGCGCCACCTGCCGGTTGCGAAAGCCCCGCGAATAGTACGCAATTTTACTCTTTGTTGATGACCCGCTTTTCACGACACTTTTTTTCAGGCGTTTCGTTTTTTTTTTTCAGCACTGACAAGTGATACACAGATTGTTTTCTAGTTGTTTTAGTTTTTCAGGTGGATAGGTGATTCTTACTAAAAAACGAGGTTCCAAGTCTTATAAAAAATTAAAGGATATTTTTAATTTCTTACAATACAAAACCTACTCGTACCTAAAGACAAACATCATGAATACTTTTTTGTCACTTTTTACAAAATCAGTTTGGGACAGAATGTTACATTTCCGGTCACACGTTCGTCAACAAACTTTTATCTTCGTAAAAGCTCATGAAAAACTTGATTCCTTAAGCCCTTCCTACACGATGTTGCCATGTAAAATCTAAACACATTAGACAACAATGTTTCCCCTTCGGGAAGTGTAAAATCGTTGCTTTAGGGTAATAAAGATATTCCCCGTCGCTAGGGGGCGCGGCGGGACTAATCGTAACCCACGATTGAGTCACCACACTAACTTCTAGTAAATTATGAACATATTATTACATTATGAATCATTTTTAACCCTTTGTATGTGACAAAAGTACTAACATGAGCCAAGTTTTCTAATGCTCGGGTACCTATGTCCATAGTAAACTTCTCCACGCCGCGATCCAAAAGTTGTCACAAGAATCCACTCGATAGATTAAGAAGATGTAAATAAAATCCCAACCCTGATATTTAAAACTAACAGAGGTATACATACTGGCGATAGTTAACAAGACTCAAAATGTGATGGAGTTTCATGCGCCAGTTCTTCTTATCATCAGCCAAATTATATTTTCCTTTGAACTTGAATTTAACGGACTCTGTCAGAATTCGACTCTACAAAACTAAAACAACCGTTTAAAAGTAAGTAAAAGTTTGCTAGAAACTTAGTCTAACATGTGCTTTCTTACACATTCCCTCATTTTTCTTTTGGATCTTTGTGCCTTGTAAAGAAGAACGTCTCGTAACCAATGGGCTTATGTGGTCACCCTACCCTTTCTTTGCTATCACCTCACGCCTTTTACCCAATTCTGTTCGCCAGCACCAAATATGCGTTGTGAATGGGTGTGTTGACCCAAACTACGGGCGACTTTGACCCTTATTATAACCTTTGCTAAGGACTAGAGTCCCTCGCAATGATCATTTACACAAGTGCTGACTGTACTAAAGTAGCAATAGGTGAATCTAATTGAGAATTTTGAACCACTTTATAAATTCTGTCTTTGTTGCTTAATTTGTCATTCATTTTTCCCAATAAGAGAGCTCGGGCAGCAATTTTGTTGCAGCTGAGCAGAAGAATTTTGAACAGTCATGTAAATTGAGATGTAGCTAAATTTTACTTTCGTAATACCGTTGAAATGCAAACCTTATAGTCTAGTATAATATTGTAAGTACATATTAGTATTTCATAGACGTAGAACCTATTTTTTTAAAACTCTATATTGCCTATATTCAAGCGCTGAGTTGAATGAAAAGCATAAGCAATACATTATGTAATCGAACAATCACCGTGGACGTTCGCACTTCATTGGTCTTGGCCAGAGACAATGAACCTCATCAACGCATTGTTCTGCTGGAATGTGATAGACATGACATGCAGTAGGTATATTAAGAGCCATTCGCGAAGTGGCAGGGCTGGATTCAGGGAAGTATCGGGAACTACACCTTAATCCCTTAGTGTGAACA